TGAAGATCGCATGGATTCCAGTCAGTATCAGCAAATTCTTGCGAACAATGTTCAAGAATCAGTGACATAGTTGAAGTTGCGCCGGGGCTGGATACTTCAACAAGACAACGACCCTAAACACCGCAAAAATTGTACCAAAGCATTCATGCAGAGGAACAAGTACAACATTCTGGAATGGCCATCTCAGTCCCCAGACCTGAATATCATTGAAAATCTGTGGTCTGTTTTAAAGTGGGCTGTCCATGCTCAGAAACCATCAAACCTGACTGAACTGGAGATGTTTTGTAAAGAAGAATGGTCAAAAATACCTTCAGAATCCAGACCCTCATTGGAAGCTACAGGAAGCATTTAGAGGCTGTTATTTCTGCAACAGGAGGATCTACTAAATATTGATGTAATTTTTCTGTTGGGGTGCCCAAGTTTATGCACCTGCCTACTTTTGGTTAAGTAATTATTGCACACTTTCTGTAAATCCTATAAACTTCAAAACAATTCTTAAATATCACTGTGTTTGTTTGCTATATGATATATTTAATTGAAATTGCTGTTCCGAACAACCAATGATCCATAAAGGAAAATCTTGAAAATGATCAGGGGTGCCCAAACTTTTTCATACCACTGTATCCATACATCTACTATAAACAGCAACCTTTAGAAGTTAGTAAGGCATTACCTTGATCTGCTGTCTTCTTAGCATCGCTAGTTCCCTCATGTCCCTAAAAGGCTGGAGAAGATACTGGTACAGCTGAGTGGAGGCCTCCAGTAGACCTCCATAGGCATGGTCTTCTTCTTCATATAGTTCCAGCAGATCGACCATACTGTCCATTGTCCTGTGCTTCTCCAGCAGCTACAACACACATACACAGTATTTGTTAAACAGGAATTTAAGCACTGTTCAGATACAGTATTACACAGCAGATACAGCATTTCACATAAACAACATATCATGCAAAGTCGTTTGCTATTCACAAACAGCTGCATGAATAATGCAGAGTCTGCACACTCACTTGTTTGCGGATTTCTGCTGCATTTACACAACAGCTCACAAAGTAACTGACCCAAAATTAACTCAGGGGTTTGGTAGTAAAAATATGACAGAAATAAAGTTTCTGTATGCATAAATATGTGAACATCAACAGTTTAGTGCATGTTGCAGAAAAGATCTAATGTCTGCAATGAGTTCATGCAATGATCTGTAGATGTTGTGTGTTTCCAGGTATCAATTATCTATGTAAGAGAAACCACATGTCAGACTGCCACTGAATTATAAACTTGGATATCAGACCATTGGGATGTTTTGTGCAGCTATAAATAATATGATCGTGTCTGTATACACTCAATGAGCACACTTCTCCTCTGCTGCTGCTGGGAATGAGATCAATACACACAAACACACACACACACATGCAACCATTAACTTATCCTACAAATAGGCTTACTGAATTTTCATAAAAATAGGATAGAAACTAGTTTCTCTGCTTTAAAATAAGGAGGAGATTAAAAACGTGTTTGTATGTTAATGTGTAGATTCACAATCATCTAGTTCACGTTTTTAAACCTTGTGTGTAAAAACTAGACCTGAAGATAAGTTATATACTTATATGAGGGGGTCTCAAATTTCTAGGAAATGGCCACTTCCAGCCCGCAAACCTCTCACATACCACCTGCTCTTTCGAATGTGAGACCCCTGACTTTAATGTACAGAATGCTCACAGTTCCTATCATTGAAAGAAATATAATCACCAAATCCAACCCCTCACTAACTTTTTGATGTGAAAATTGTGCTTTTTTTCTGTACAGCATCAAGACTACTACTTAAACAAAGGTGATGGAATTAATTGAAGATTGATATTAGCTTGTTTTAATTTTATTCCAACGGACTACCAAATGTAAGAATTAAAAAAAAAAGATGTTGTTGGCATGACAGAGAATATTTAGGGGTTATTTAATTCTTGCACTAAACACTAAAGAGTAGAGTAGAGTAGGGCTTTATTCATCCCCCTTGGGGGAAACATACTACTAAATAAAAGCCTATTGTGACCTAGCCATATAAAATTATGGACAGGTCACTGTTTTATCTCAACATTGTCGAAGGTGTACGGCACCATGGATAGATGCGCTCGTAGTAGCATATCTAGGATACACAACATTAAAAAACTATTAGGGAAAAACATTAGGGATGCCAGATGAGGTTTACATGAAACAATAGTTTTACATCACAGGTGATAGAACCATATATAGCAAATCAATGGTTATTTATGGTTATTTACCTTAAAGTTTCTTTATGAGAAAAAATGTAAAATGAAAATGAATAAATGAATTGCAGTACACTGCTGTCACTACAGACAGAGTGGCTCTGCCAGGCTTTGTAAAAGTGCTGACTCAAAGCCGCAGCTTCATATCTGTTCTCAGGATAAAACAACCTTAAACAATGTGTTTCATGTTTTGACTGGTCAGGAAGGACTGTAAGTCAACACTTCCTGTCTCTGTTTTCATTCTCTCTCTATCTCCCTCTCTCTTGCTCTGCTGTCCTTCTGTATATATTTCTGTTCTGTGCTAATGAGAGTGGGTGTGGGACTGAGTGGAGGGATGATGTAGCTGATTTTCCTGTGGCTTTTTTTCACAGCTCAAGTCAGTACAGGGAGGAAACACTTTGACCAGAAAATCATATTACACACAAACAAGCACAACAGCAAATATGTATTCAAAAAAGCACATCAGCATTTTCTTATATTCAGCAGTCATTTATTCCCTGAACACAAGTAAACAGTTCAGCACAACGCTGCAACTTTGAGATGCTAAAAATGGAAAAAATCTCCCATTAATGTACTACCTCACCTACTGTCTCAGAGGACTCTTTGCTGTGTCTGGCTCTAAGAGTCAAATATGCATTAATATGCCTCCATTGATAAGTAGAACAATGTAAGAGCCAGTGAGTATCACTGTTTACATAAGCACCAGTTCATCAATTGATTAATGTAGAGCCTAAGATAAACACACAGTGTAATTCAGATGGTCATTTCAATATGGTTGTGTTTAATTAAATAACTGTTTGTATAACTATTGATAAATCCTCTCTACTGACAGCTTCATTTCTAGCATTCTACATCTATTTTCTCTGTACGTATCCAAATGATATTGACCTTGCCTCTTGAACTTAATCTCAAAACTCTGCCCCTCTGTTAATCTCCAATTCTAATCCTGTCCACCCCAAATTCACACTGTCTTTAACTATGCCGCCTATGACCAGGTCTCATGTCTTTATTGTGTCTTCAAACTTTATATCATAATAGGCCCCAACGAACCTGTGTGAAACTTTTGTTTCACATTTACACTGCCCAACTGATAATCATATGTAAAATTGGTGGCGGGGTCCTGTAGTGTGTCTCCCGCTTCAATTTAGTTCGAAGGTTTGGTATCCTCTTTAATGTGTTTATATATACACAATAAATAAAAATTAAAATATATAGGGTTGAAAGAATTAATAGACAAAAAAAGCATGATGAAATATTTTGATTGACAAAGAAATTCATATGGAATTAACTGTGCTAATAAAAATGTCTCCCAGAAAATATGTCACTATCGAAGAAACGCCACGAAACCGTTTGTCATGGACCTTTTTTCGGGTTGTTCTATTCCTAATGGCATACACTCATCTACCATCATTCGTCTATTACCTGATTGCTATTGTGGTGTGGTACACTTTCAAGATGCCCACATGATGAAGCTTTATGGCCACATACACTGCGGTGGCTCTCATGATAATGTTGTGCAAAAAGCATGTAAGAAGCTGGTGATTTCAGGATCAACTTCTCACCTCTTGCAGATGTATGTTTGCACGGTTCAGCGCGTCCTCGTACCCAGACTGTCTCAGTTCACTCAGACTCTCGTAGTACTCATCTGGATCTTCGCTTTCTGTGAACAGCACCTGGGACAGGATCTTCCATCCACATGTGTCAAGGGCATAACCCAGGTACATCTGTAAACTGTAGCAAAGCTTGTCCAGTTCTGTCTCAGGTACCTCAGCAGGACCAAACAGGACCGTCCACATCCCTGCTGGTTCTTCTGGAAACACTGGGAGAAATGGCTCCAGCTCTGAGTTCACTGAGCAAAGCTGCTGATGAATGACCCGGAGGTCCTGGAAGGAGAAGAGCCCGGCCCAGCTGCAGTCCTCCTGGCTCAGACTATCCAGCTCCTCCAGGTCCAGTCTGTCTAGTGAAGGGGGCAGCTGCTCTTCTTTTCTTAGAACAGAACTAGCGGTGGATTTAGTCAAATTTCGACTCTTCCCAGGGCTCGATTTGGTTTCCTTCAGGGATTTGATTTGAGGACTGCAGTCTTTCACCGCAGCCTCTCTGATTCCTTTGACAGGGCTCTTCAACACTGTATCGTTCGCAGGACTTTCGGGCCATTTTGTTTTGTCTCCATCCTGTCCGGCGGCCTCGAACAGCGGATCCCTGCCAAAACTTCTTCTCTGCACCGTCCTGTCGTGACATGTAACGGCGAATTTACCCTCCACCTCATTCCAGGCCACTATAAACACAAATTTATGCTTTTCCTTCTCTTCGAACGCATTAGGGCGAACAGCCACCCAGCCCGATTCCAGATTATCTTCCATCATGAATGACATGTCTGCTGAGCAATAACGAATACAGCTGTCTGCACATAGGCCGTTTTCTCTATTTTCTGCTCTTTGGGGGGGAAATGAAGCGTGTTTACCGCCGTTAACAAACACCGACCTCTCTCGGAGGATGTTGAGCCTGCGGTTCTGCCCTTCTCCACCTCCTCCTCCTTCGCTCGAGCGGATGGATTTGGAGCAGCGCCGCACCGTTTCCCATCTTTGGGAAACCTGCAGTGCCGACGCGGTTTGTAGTCTTTAACTATTCCAGTCTTATGTTTTCCTTCATTTTCAGACACGAGCAGGCACAAGACGCCACCCTGTGTTGACAACGCACACTGCCGTCCTCTCCTCCTCGGCAGTGCTCCGTTGTTACTGAGCTAGACTTCCCTCTGTGCATCGCAGAGTAAAAACGGGGCACATCCTTCTGTCATAAAGCGAAATTGATGAAAAAAACAACAACGGGGTTTTTTTATCGTCAGTCAACAAAAACACACACCATTGACAGAATAACCAGGCTAATTTGAAGTTCTGCCAGTAGGAATTCCTCTTTTATCATTCATGACAAGAATAAACTAACTAACAAAAACATGACTGATCAGTTAAGATAAAAACATACTGTCCAATTTAGTATTCACTAAATGTAACTAAATGTGATTATAATCCAAACGCCTGTTCATACACCGGAGAAAAGTGTTCAGTGGAGAAAGGCCTGCGTACTGCTGCGGTTTCCTAAGAGCAAATGAAGGCATCATCAGGATTTAAGAGCACTTAAGGACGCGCTGACGTTTTGGTCCACAGTGTGTCAGCTGCAGATTCTATTCATGCATAACTTCGAATGAGACACTTTTTTAACAATGAGCGTGAAATCAGGTAAAAACAAGTTTTATGCACGTGTTATGAAAACAAAAACATCTACACTGGGGATTTATACATATACGTGTAGCAATAAAAGTATTGTGTCATTTCTGGTTTATAATATAATATATATATATATATATATATACACACACACACATACATAGTATATGGGAAATAATAATAACCTGTGAAAAAAGTGTGTTAAGATTTAGGGAAATTACTGGCGGTTGAAATTCAATTACTTCGAAACCATATTGCCCCATTACAGTTAAGGAATAGTCAGGCTTTATAAGATTATTTTCTTCTGGCAAACTTGTATCCGTTGTAGTACTTTTACACTGAACAATGTAAACATGTTTGCAAAGAAGAAATCTTCTTTGTCTATTGAGGTTAGCTGAACAGAGTATGCCTGTGCTGATGTATTGTGGTCTTACTCGTGGTGTATGGAGGAATAAATATTTTTGGAAGCAGTACTGTACATCTTGTTGTGAAATGAAAAGTTTGTAAACCACCGCTATAAGCTTTATTTTCGATATGTTTGTGGGGAACTGAGTACTTCAATTGTAACATTTAGCTTATAGCTGGTTGAAGGTAAGGTGTAGACGTTTAATTACGGGTCCAAAAACAGGAATGACGTTACGGATTATTGTACTTTCCACCTACTCATGTGTTCAAAAAACGTAGTTCATAAAGCCTATGTATTTGAATGAAGAGAAATGATACCTGTCTACATATGGTTCCATGGTGTAATGGTTAGCACTCTGGACTCTGAATCCAGCGATCCGAGTTCAAATCTCGGTGGAACCTATAGTTTGTTTTCGTCTAATCTAAATACAAACCAAATCTGCAATACCACATTTTAATAATAACAGATGAAATTAGAAATGTAATAGTTTTACTTGTATCTGTACTACAAAAACATGATAATATTTGGGCAATGTATTTTAGAAAGTTTATTTTATTGTATCTTATATGTTATCTTACAGTATATATTAGAATACCTTTTTTTGATCAGATTATATCACATAAACACCTTAATAATTTTTGCATTAGCGGTGATGGCCACGGGGAGGGGCTTAAAAGTCTACATTTCCGTTATCAATGAGTGATTCTAGCGAATTGTTTTCNNNTCCCTACAGGTACTTCAGTAATTAACTTATTTAATTACATTTTAAAGTAACTTAGTCGACCGATTGTTTACACGCTATTTCTATTTTTATTTTATTTTTGTATGAAAATTACACAATAAATGTGACTGATCTCACTCCAAACCAACAGGGGGAGTTGCGGGGTTTTCGGTAGCAATGGTAGGATGTGTTGTCACTTCCTGGCGGGTGTTTTCGCTTTTTTGAATATATAACAGTTGTCCTGTTTGTTATCAGTAGTACAACACAGCTGCTGGTGCTGCTTTAAATGACCGCTAACTAAAGGGTCGGAATTATCACATAAATTCAATAAAGGTAAGACAGCGGCACACCATGGAGGCTATCGCTGCTGCGAGTGATCATTCTGTTTCTGCCATCGGCAGCGAACCGAACGGCATCCGGTCAATTACGACGCTGCTCAGGTTTGTCATCAAGTTCTGCTTCAATTCTGTGTTTTATGTTTTAATGTTAATGTTATCTAATTGACTTTGCACAAGCCATTGATATCTTAAGTACTGTTTTACACTGATTATTCTAGGATAAAGCAGCAGATGTCAACCCAATTCTTTGAGATCGGTAGGCATACAACAGGTACATTACTCTGTGTATGACAGTATAATTATGCTAAGTTTTAAATAAGTAAATAATAATTTTCATTTTCTTTTACCAACAAGAAAAAAACAAGGGTGAATGCAGCCTACCCGAGGCTAAGAGAGACATGTGAGTGTTTGATGCAGATCTACATTTTACTCTATACATTTTTATCATTTATAATGCTCACTTCTAGTTTTCTCATAGGCCAGGTTTGATCAGTGAGATCGAAAGAGTCTCAACAGATTACTTTAACAACACATTATTACTTCACAGGTAAACACAATTATACTGATTTATTTTTTAATAAAAGCCCTACTTTGAAAATATATGATCTTCAGATATTGACTGGTTTAACTGCTTACGTCTTCCAGAATGCAGTTGTGCCATGCTATTGCAAATAAGCTGGAACACAATGATGCTCAGGCTAGGTAAGCAAAACCACGACATATCCTGTATTCAGTTTCAATGTAATAACTATTTCAATCTTGATATGTTTCTGTTTTTTTTTAGTCAAATAAAAGAGCTCAGCAAACGCTGCATGGCCATGTGTTCAAGAATCAAACACGTTCAAAATGTGAGAAACCTTTCTTAGTCTTGGTGTTTGCAAAATATGGTCATGGGCAGGTTTTATGTGGCTCAGAATTTATTTCAAAATGTTTAATTTTTTGTTTTAAAAAAATGTGACAATTAAATGTTTTAGGTGTTTTAGAAATAGTTGTTAAATGGTCCTTCTCACTTTGAATGGAGAAGCATTTTAAAACCTTTGGTAAACACAAAATTATGGCTAATCTGATAGGATTTGCTTCTGTTATTTGAAAACAAAAGAATGTTTCTTAGCTCGTGGTTATAATATAATAAATTACATGAGCTTTTTTTACCCTCAAGTCCTTGTGTTTCTTTAACAGGAGAATAGAGATCTGAAAAATGAAATTGCAAAAATACAAAAGGAGAGATATGGTATGTTTTTTGGATCATTTTTAGTAATGCCAGCTTTTAAAAGTTTCAGCTCCATTTGTGCATGAAACAACTTACATGAATTATCTGAAAACAACTTTTAATCAACACTTTTTTTCTATTATTTTGTCATGTTTGTTTGTGTAGATCTTTGGCAGATTACCGCGGAGAAACGGAAAGAGATAGACGTGATGTTGAAGGAGGAGTATCCAGAGGCCAAGCAGTACAAAGCATGGCTGGCAGAAGTCAAAACAAATCTGGAGAGTTGCAAAAGGATGATCACTTTAACTCAGAATGTGCTCAGGGTAATTTCTACTGAATACAGTGTGTGATGTTAGTACTTTATATGAAGCGTGGCATGATCACCCTGTGTGCTTCCCCTCAGGGCATCTTCTTGGCGTTTAAGGTCAACTGGCTGGATGACCCAAAACTGAAGGACATTGTCATGAATATGGAAGCCTTTCCTTATTTAGGGATTAAGGAAGTGGACTTGGTGTCACAATAACAAATCCAGTCAATTGTATTTATCTGTATAATTTATAATAAAATCCTACACAGTAATATGTTCCACTGATTTAATAAAGATAATCATTGCATCTAAATTAATAATGTTAATCAACTTTGACAGTGAAACGTGGCTCAGCTAAGCACAGCATAAGTCTGATCAACATAATTCCCTGATGTGAATATTTTTTGGACGGGGAGGAAAGTTATGGAGCTAGAACAGTCTCAAAAAGAATAAATACTCAAACAGATTCACAAATGTACTTGCATTATGGAATATTTACAAATATATTTTGAAAATTCACAAATGCATTTGGAATATTTATAAATGTATTTTGAAAATTCACAAATGTATGCATGTAAAGATAATTGTTGGTTTCATGAAATACATTTCTGAATTGTGTCTATGAAGATTCTCAGTCATCCAGGTCATGGTCAAGTTTAAAAAGTTATGATAGGCAACTGGACGTGAATTTTCTAAAAGAAGACTTTCACCTCTCATCCAAGAGGCTTCTTCAGTTCTAACTGGTGGTGGGGAGTACAGCAGATATATACTCTAAGTGTGAAAGAATATAGCTACTTAAACTCCACCCTGTTGGGTGGGGCCTTGGGGTCAACTGTGAAAGTATAAACAGTTGTTAAGAGTCTGATGGGGACCACAACGACCCATCAGACTCTTAACGACTGTTTAGAGTCTGATGGGTAACAAAGAGGCAGGTTTCTGTCACCTGCCTCTTTGTTATGTGAAAATGAGGTGAATCTCTTGTCCCTAAGAGGGCTTTGTATGTGGGTTGTGTCTGAGTCCACCTCCTCTGTTGAGTGATGGTTTTTAAAGGTTGACAAAAACGGCTTCTTTTACCCCTCTCTCAAACCATCTGTCTTCTCTGGCCAAAATGTGTACATTGTTGTCCTCAAAGGAGTGTGTTTTGTCCTTGAGGTGTATGTGAACAGTTGAGTTCTGTCCTGAGGAGTTGGCCCTCCTGTGTTGGGCCATGCACCTGTGTAGCAGTTGTGTAGTCTCCCCAATGTACAGGTCAGTACACCCCTCACTGCACTGAACGACATAAACCACATTGTCCAGCTTGTTCCTTGGAGTCTTGTCTTTGGGATGAACCAGTTTTTTGTCTTAGAGTGTTACCAGGTTTGAAATGTACAGGGATCTGGTGTCAAACGGAGATTGGAGATACTGGTCGGTGTGGGTTTGTTTCATGTACACCTCTATGTTGAGTTGTCTGTCCTCTGAGATGTGAACAGCACAGTCCAGGAATGCAAGACTTGTTTTTTACATCTTCTCTGGTGAACTTGATGTTCATTGTGTAACCCGCATTTCTAACGTGTTTTTCATTCGTAAATCTCCGTGCATTTGTATGTGGATTTTTGAAACCCGTGAGCGGCCAATCAGATGTCTCGTCCGTTTGCAGCCAATCACACGAGTCGTGTCGTGTCGTGTCGGCCCAGTAGCTGTAATGTGACAAATTTCACAAACAGTTTTAAACGAAACGGCAATATATCGTTAGATAGATACTTTATTCATCTGCAAGAAAAATAATCACAGTCACAGCAGCTTGATTTTATTAATGCATTTTATATGAAGCATGGCATCCCCAGAGACTCCACAATAGATTGGTAAAGATCTTGGAGAGGCAACCTCTTTCAAATGTGCATGACTGTGTAATAAAGCATGTAATTTCCCGCTTTTTCTTATCAGTGTGAGAGGAGATCATGAGAGGAGAAAATGTTGGCATTGCAGAGTTAATGTTCACAGTTCGTGGCACAAACACTTCAGCTTCATTGCAGAGAAAAGTGTACACAATCAATGGTAGGTTATCCCTTATTTTAAAAATATTATTGTTAAGATGTCTATATTTCCTCAAACTTGGATTGAAATAATGTTTTAGAGAGGTTGTCTAACCAAAGATATATATATATATGAATTAGTGATGGGAAGACCATCCATCCATCCATCCATTTTCATCCGCTTATCCGTTACCAGGTCGCGGGGGCAGCAGTCGCCACCCAAATCACATTGCACCGTACCAACCCCCCTGAACCTTCCTGCAGGTGGTGAGTCCACTGGAAGGTACCAACCACCCTAACCGGGATTCGAACTTGCCCAGGAGATGAACCCTGGGGTTCCACACCATGACAGAGACATTGCCTCTGGGCCAAAGTGCCACTGATGGGAAGACCGACTCTTTTTATTGATTCGAATCTTTGACTCTCGAACAGTAAAATGAACGAGTCGTGAACGAATCTAATCTAAACTAATCATTTCATTCGTTTTACAGCAGGTGGCGCTTTAGCCCTATTGTGGGCGTTGTAAAGAAGGCTGCGGTTCTCCGACACAAATTACTGAAGGCAACATGGTTTGCTTCCGCTGACAAAGTCTACAAAGTACACAAAATGCCACAAGCAATTAAAACCATGCGAAAAGCTAAGAAATAAAAACACACCACAATGTGAAGATGAATGAGAGCAAACAAGACCCGAGTTCTTTCGCGTGACAAATGAAACGAATCTGTGAGAACGAAGCGAAAGATTAGTTCACAGAGAAAGATTCGTTCACAGCGAAAGATTAGTTCACAGCGAAATATTAGTTCACAGAGAGTGATTCGTTTGCAATGATAGATTAGTTCACAGTGAGTGATTAGTTCGCAGAGTGATTTGTTCGCAGTGAGTGATTCGTGAGTTCAATATGAACACATATTTAATATGACTCGGTAGTCACAAGTCACGAATGTTTCATATGACTCGTGACTCCCGAGTCAACATAATGACACATCACTAATATGAATTGTATTATACACCAGCAGTCATTTTTGCCCCTGCTTACTCCTCCTACTGTCCCCACCTCCTAATCATTTTCTCTTCTCTGCATCTTTCTCTCCCCTTCTTCCTTGAGTAGTCCTATAATTGCTATATAGGCATTACAGTTTAAGGAAATTCATCTTTTGAAAATTTGTTGCTAAATATGTGAGAAGCTTGTTAAAAGAAACAGGTAATTAATACTATTACCTCACCCTCCAATAGATGGCTTTCCGATGACGTCATGCTACTACCCATAGGATACTTCGACAGGAAGAACGATGCTATGGCTTTCACATATTAACCATGCTAATTTCAACCCAGATCCAAGCAAAAAGCATTACTAAGTCTGTTCTGAACACTTTATTTTAAGTAATTACATTATACTTTTATTTAATTCATATGTTCAATGTCCACATGACCACAGTTCATATCGTTATCAGTATTGTCTATGTACATCTGTATCAAACTATTTTTATTTTAATGAAGAAAGTAAAAAACATATTTTTGTGATTTTGGAAAAAAGTATAATCTAATCATTAGTAAAACATGATTTTTCATGTAAACTGTTATTCTAATTATGTTCATAAAAGTCATATGTTAGATTTCAGTGGTTTTCACATTTGGTATGGGTCTGAAAGCAGGAAGCTGCTAAGACAAAATGCCTTCCCAAGCACACACACTCACATTCGAAGAGAATTTCTCCTAAATTCTCTTCACACCAACTTCCCAGATTACTCCCTGTTGTTCCAAAACACCTCTACTCCCTGGAAACAATGGGAAGACTCCCAATCCACATACTTACAGGAAACCCCGGATCAATCCACTCTTTTCATTTACATAAGCCCCTGTTGTTTGCTAGACCTCAAGGCTACGCCCACCCCTTTTGTGATAACACCTTGCTCCGTGACAAAAGGTTCATAAACATGTGCTCCCACACTGCTGAATCATGGAGCAGCAGGCCACATAGTGGTGACTGTAGGCACAATCATGATACAATAACAACAATATGATTGACCACAAGAGGCCTAACCTCTGTCTTCCATTGGCCTACATTTAAACACACCCGGGAAGTCAAAATCCACTAGGTATATAAGTGTAAACCACTGATGATACATTAGAAGATATTCTTGGAAGTTATTCTGGGAAATTTAGTTCTTGAATTTGCATACTGGCAACTGTTGTACGAGATTTTCTTGAATACTTCTCCAGTCGTTTTATTTTGCTCGTTGGACCTGTTTGCTTTGGTGTTTTGTTATTAAACAAATTGACCATCTACAGGCTGTTTAATTTCTTGCCTGAGTCAAGGTGATTTCTTCAATTTTGGTGCTGTGACTACGGGAGAAGAAATCCTCCAATTGGTGTCGTGCTCACGAACAAAGAAGGGCCAAATCGCTCAACTGGGCCCTGAAGTGGATATAATTATACCAATAATCTTCAACTGGTGCCTTGACCCAAATCGAAATATAGCAGGATTCTTGCACATACATCTGTACATGCCACTGCGATTTACATGCTCTATTATTTAGGTGTTAATAAATATTAAATATAATTAAATTAATATTCTTGTCTTTTGTTGTCATTATTGATTGTTTACATCTACCTATTCACGTCTTTTGCCACACAACGTGGCCGACGGTGCGATGCATCATGGATAATAACGATTATTGGAAAACCATCTATACAGAATCGAGTGGCTCTTGCGTGATGTTGTAACCAGCTCATATTACAACATCCTGCACTCTCTTGAGGGCCGACATCTGCTTGACATCAGCAACATTACGCACATCTTCTGCTGACACTGTCTTCTTACCACACATCTAGGCCAGTCTGGATCTTCAAAGAGGCATGGGATAACCACCCCATCAGGACAGAGAAAAACCTGACACTAAATCAGCTGTGGCAGGTGGGACAGGCCCTCAGATCACCAGGTTAGTAATACATGTTAAAAGTGTTCATTTTTGTTAATATTAAATATTTAATTTAATATACACACAGTGTCTTCAGGGTGCATTCATTCCAGAGATTGAATGGGAGAAGAGTGGAAACATGAATGAGGTTCATCCTGGCGTCACTGTCCCGCTCACGAAAGTCCCCTATCATACCCTGAATATTTCAGGGTCGTGCGGTCGGGGGAGGCAGTGCCTCAGCTGCCATCACGATAAAAAAGAAGAAAAAAAGTACATAAAATAAATATTAATATTTTCCACTGATTTGTGTTAAAGATGCATTTTCAGTATGACTCTATGCAGAGCAGAAATCCAGGGTGAGGCCCGGTAATAAACCAATGAACCATCCATGAGGAATAAGATGCTATTTTTGGTTCTTACTATTGTAAATGCATCACCAGCCATGAACCTCACCGCACGTCACTGAACCATAGCAACAGTCAACAGAAAGAGCGAGGGAAAAACAAGACAGAAACGCTCGTACTGCTACAACACCATACCACCAGCCTGATCAAATAGTATGCCACACTTAATAACGTGATCATTAAAGGTGTTACATATCTCAATTTGTTCTTGGATAACTGTGGAATCCACCAGAAGCTGTTGAGGGAATGTCGGTGGAAAAACACCTTTAAGGGATTTAATTACTTTCCAGAACTTAGCTGGATTGCTACCACAGTCAGACAGGTTGTGTAGGTAGTAGTTAGACTTGGCCTTCTTAATCAAGTAGGTACAAGTGGAAGCTGCAGGTGCATCGTCAGGATGGACGGAAGCATCCTCCGGGAGAATGGTGAAACGGTTGGAGATAGCCAATGGAGGTTGTGGATACGGACCAGCCGAGACCCTGCTGTGGCCGCGTCGCACTACTTCTGTCCAGGAAGGTCGGGGCCAGGTGTTGGCTCGGTTCGGCGTGGAAGTGTGAACCGGAGTATTTGTCCCGTAACCGCTGTAGACCCCTGGATCAGCGTTGAGGTATCCAGGCTCGATGCAGCAGCCATGTTCAGCCAGGCCGCTCTTTTCACATGGACGGTCTTCCGGGCGGGCAGGTAAAGGTGAAGTGCTGGTGTGCATCGTTGCCAGCCAGGGGAGGGTGGCCGCGGAATCCGAGACCACCGCAGACATGGGTGAAGGAGGTGATGGTGCCAGTGGAGCAGTGAAAGTTGAGGACTGTAAATGTGAGATTTTTGACTGGGCAGCAGCAACCGAGATAAAGCCCTCGATCAGCTGATCTCTTTTTCGGAGCGGCCACACAGCATTACTCACTTGTGGCCGTTGGCTGAACGGATAGAAAGACGACTCAAAGGTATAGATAGGATAAATCCACCCTCACCCATGCAGTTTGGTGGAAAAGATTTAAGCAGAGGTTTGAAATATATTTAGCTGCCAGTGGAGCAGGACAGGGGGTGAGAAATTGCATGCTCAAATCTTTCTGAATGTAATTGGGGAAGACGTGTTGGACATTTACAACAGTTTTCAATTTGCACCTAATGATCTGCAACTACCTACACTCATACAGAAATTCAAAGCTCATTTTGTGCCTACAAAAAACATAATGTTTGAGAGATACAAATCCTTTTCCTGTGACCAAAATCCTGGCAATACTTTCAATCTGTACTTAGCAGAACTGTACACTTTGAGCAAGACATGTGAGTTCGGTGGCCTAAGAGATTCACTAATAAAGGACCGCATAGTTTGTGAAATTGCAGACAATGGACTGAGAGAGAGATTGCTGAGAGAAAGATCTGACTTTGGATAAGGCAGTGGATTTGTGCAGGGCATCACAGAGCTCACGCGAGCAAGTCAAAACTGAAATGGCGGAGCAGGCAGTAAAAAAAAAAAAAAAAAAAAAGGAGCAATAATGGTGGCAAAAGAAACTATTATGCGAAATGCTGCACATCTGAAACAAAGAAAAAAGTGCATACAGTGGATGAGGGACCAGATAAGTTCTTTGTAGATGTAGTGCAGGCACCCCATGCTGAAAAAGAAGAATGGATCGTTCCAGTTCTGGTAAAGTTTTAGGCATAAACCCATGCTGACCGTGTGTGTGTCTTTACTAAATGCACTACACGGCATAACAGTATTTAGCTCTGATATAATTTCTACTGCAATTACACAGATGCAACCACAGCTTATTATATTAAGAAAAAAATACAGTCAAAATAGAATCCACAGCACAAAACAATACTATAATAATATAAATAGGCTTTATTTTACACATTCTTCACCACACTCAGATCACATCTTCACTTCATCCATCTCTTGCATAAATCTATTAAACGTCTAACCCATCACCACAGGTACTTGCATGAGAGGAGAGGACATCAGAGGGAAAGGACTGCAGGCAAATTGGGCAAACCTGTAAACAAGCCAATAATTATATATATGTATTAATATTATTAAGATTAAGTGATATTTGCCAGTTAAGAAAAACTAATGTTAAAAAAGCAAAGAACCGGTGCTTAGTCGGGCACTGCCTCCATAATAGCGCTGAACCAGCTTAGTGGAACAGTGGCATAAAAATAATGGTCCGAAACCCCTAGTCCGAGTGTTGTGCTGGTCTCAGAAGCTAACTGAAAGGCTTGGTTGATTTTATTATTGGCAGTTTTTAATACACTTAATTTTCACTTAATTTTTTCACTATACTGTGAATATTTAATAGATTATGTTCACTAAATGAAGGAAAAGAAAGAAAGTGGACTCCTTGTCACTGGGACACAGCACACCACTGCACACAACCAAATGTGACCTCTGCTTTGAGCGCCCAGGGAGCAGTGTGTGGGGACAGTGCCATGCTCAGAGCACATCGTTGGTATTCCGACGTTTCCGCTTTAGCTGCCACAAGAGGGCGTAGTAGCATGCGAGGAAACTAAAAATTTCTTAACACTCTGTCAGCGAAGAAGAAGTGGACATTTACACGTGTTTTGTATCTGAGGAGCGACCAAGTTTAATTCGTTAGTAGAAGTTTATGTTTCTAAATATTTTATTAAGATAAAACAGCGAAAATGCCGAAGGTGAAGGCGGAGAAGAAGAGCCGACAGCACCAGGAAGTCAAGAGCCAAGGTAAGCGACTGTACAGTTAATGGTAGCATAAGAGCTAACACCAGGGTCAGCTGCTCAGAAGACAATATTGATCGTCTTCTAAGCGTTGTTCGTCGTTCAGTATTTTACCAGATACCGCATATTCCTACACTCTGTGGGAGTACGTGCCCATTGTGATATACCCCTTATTTATTTTTAGAATAACTTGCAACAATCGTCACCTTGATAAACTGAAAGGTTTTTACATATGAAAACAGAACATACAAAACCGTATTACCAAAGTAAGTTACCCTCGTTTTTCAGTGTCAATACACTGCCTAACTAAAAATAGTTGAACTTGGCTGAAAACATGAGGTTTTGTCGTAATTACTAATAATTGATAACAACGTCAGTCAATTCTTCAATGTAGATGGAACAAAAACAAATGAGTGCAGGAACAATAGACAATAATGACATAATACACAAACATTAATTAAATAAATACCTTCTAGATTTTTAAAACTTATGGCAAAAACAGCAATGTCAAATACAGTATATATAACACACCTACCGGGCCTGTAGTTAGTGTCTTGTTTTTTCTTTGATGCAGGGATCATGTTCAACACTGGTGTGGGTCAGCACATCCTAAAGAATCCCCTGGTGGTCAATGGTATCATTGAAAAGGTGGGTTAATGTGCATTCTTTTCATAAACGTGTTTATAAAAGTTGTCCTGCTCTGTGGTTGTGCTGAAGGGTGACTTGTTTTTCAGGCAGCGCTGCGGCCCACAGATGTGGTTCTGGAGGTAGGGCCTGGTACTGGTAACATGACAGTGAAGCTGCTGGAAAAAGCCAAAAAGGTAAATAATAAATAAATAAATTTGTACTACATTGATCCCATATTTGGGAAATTGTTGTGTTAGCAGCAAATATGCTGTTACCAGGCTGCCCCTAGCAACCGCCATGTGGTTCCTCTGGGAATCAAACCCAGGACTCTCTGCTCTCTGCTTCTAGGGCAGGCGTTCTTACCACCTACTCTATGGAACTGACCATAAAACATCCTACATGAAGTTTCACCAATGTGTCACATGATCTCATTGTGGAGTGCAGTGTACATTATATTTCAGGAGGGTTAAATGTATTTGTGTGCATGTCATTTTCAACAGTAGTGTGTTTTTATAGGTGGTGGCCTGTGAGTTAGACGGCAGACTGGTGGCTGAACTCCAGAAAAGAGTGCAGTGCACGTGAGTGATGACAGTGTACACCAAAGTGCAGTATTTTGAGTGAAAATTGTGATCTAAAGAATAACACTGTTTTCCCACAGACCCTTACAAGCCAAACTTCAGGTACTGGTTGGAGATGTACTAAAGACTGACCTACCATTCTTTGACATTTGTGTGGCTAATTTGCCATATCAGGTAAAGACACACACATGTAAATGCATACAGCTGATTTGTCATTCTTGATTGTATTTATATTTAAATTGCATGTCTTTTTTTAGATTTCCTCACCGTTTGTCTTCAAGCTCCTTTTGCATCGACCCTTCTTCAGGTGGCTTTTGAAAGAGAGAAAAATAAATAAATCATGCATTATTGTCACATGCAAGTTTATCATTAAGCACCGTCTTCTTTTCTCTTGGTCCAGATGTGCCGTGTTGATGTTCCAGAGAGAGTTTGCCATGCGACTAGTGGCCAAACCTGGAGACAAACTTTACTGCAGACTCTCCATCAACACACAGCTCCTGGCCCGTGTCGACCACCTCATGAAGGTCAGAGTTGGTGCTTTTCAAGATCCCGCAGCATTGTGTCAGCATAACTCTGTCTGTGTTTCATCAACTGTGTGTCCCTGCTAACATTTCTGTCTCATCAGGTTGGAAAGAATAATTTTCGCCCTCCTCCAAAAGTGGAGTCAAGTGTTGTCAGGATAGAACCGAAGAATCCTCCACCTCCAGTAAATTTCCAGGTAAAATTTGAGAAATGATGATTCTGTGAACATGTAGTTCCAAACAAGAGCACTGCTAATTTTCTACTTTCTTTAATGTTTTGAAGGAGTGGGACGGCCTGGTCAGAATAGCTTTCGTAAGGAAAAACAAAACCCTGAGTGCCGCGTTCAAGTGAGTTAGCTGTCTGCTGCGGACAAAAGCCTTTTCTGTGGTTAAGAGTACTGAGGAAAAATGGTCAAGATTAAAATGTGGGTTTCTAATTTCTAGGTCGACTGCAGTGGAACAACTCCTGGAGAAAAACTACAGGATCCACTGCTCTGTTCATAATGTGGTGAGCTTTATAGCAGCCAGGCTGTTGTTTTTCAGGATTAGACTGAATTGTTATGACCGGCTAATTAGAATCAAACTCATGTGTTAACACAAACAGGAAGTACCAGGAGACTTCATCATTAGCAAGAAGATCGAGAGTGTTTTGCAGGTGTCTGGGTTCTATGAGAAGAGAGCCAGGTCCATGGACACCGACGACTTTATGGTGTAAGTTAAACGTCTAATACACATTTCTTCAAATCTTCATTTTCCCTCTACACATTGTGATAAATTAACTTCTGTCATTTCTTGTGTATTCTTTTCCCCCTTAGATTGCTGCACGCATTCAACTCTGCAGGAATCCACTTTTCTTAGACAACCTCAAAGGCTGAGCTTCATGACTCATGATGATGAAGACAGTGGAGCTTGTCCTTGTAAAAGTGCAGAGAAATAGACTTGTCTTCCTTCTTCTGAAGAGTTTGGTTAGGGGGAACTGAATTCCCTGTGGGCAATCTTCCAAAATGAAATATACTAAACATGGACATATTCAATCAGCTCATATTGAGTGTGGGAGTCAGGAAAAGCAAGTTTACGCTGCAGTCGTGCACAACTGTGCATGTGTGCAAGAGGGAATCTGTCATTTGTAATCATGAGACTACGGAATTTTAATCCTGTGTTTTTTAAAAAAAAAAAAAAAGATTGTGTGTGGTCTTTTACAACAAGTTTCCTAGAAACTAGAGCTTGTTTAAAGTTGCTGTTGTGAAAGGCAGTGGTGCCATGAATGCTGTAAATAAATGAAAGTAAGAAAGTTCAGGGAAAGAAGGCAGTGAGTAGCAAAAACATATTCCCTGATATGAAAACACAACTGTACGCCTTGTAATGTAATGCAAAACTCCTGCATACAACTTTCCTATACAATAAAATGAAAAAGTGTTACAATAAAAAACAAAACATTATCGTGGCCCAAATCAATTCTCTAGCAACATCTCATGCACATGTAAATGAGTCCTACTGCCCACCAGAGGAAAAACTCAAGTTCCTGTGAAATCGTCAAGAGTAAACCATTTGCTTTCGAAAAATAGAAATCCTACTGAAAATCCATTAATTGTTCACAGCGTAATTTGTTAACAAAAAAACAACTAATATTTTAACTTAAATGAGTTTATATGAATAGTTCTATTTACTTGAAATAAAAAAATAGGGTTCACCTGCGATGTTGATGAATCAGGTGTCATATAAGGACAATTTTTTTTTTAAAACGTAGGACGGGAACCTTTTATTACTTCATCCAGCATCACATCCAGTGCAAACACTGAGCATCAACATAACCACCTGCAGGTCAGGAGTTGTCTCACTATACAGTTATTAGTAGCAGGGTTTTCTAGTCTGTTTTCATTTTTATAACAAAGTGTTAAACAGGGGTTGAAAACATGTTTTACAATAAGCAAGGATTAAAGTCACCACATAGAACGTAATGGCACAAACTGAAGCAAGCTATGTGTATCTCTTATAGACACAAGGAAGAAAAAAAAGCAACAGAAGCAGCTGTGCTGAAAAAAAAATCTAAACTGGTAAAAACATGGGTCGTGAACCTATGACCCACCGACACACCAACAGTCTTCATTTGTTTCCACGGCTTGTCACGCCCCAGGCTGTGCCAAAAACATCTAGTGGTTATGTTGTTTTTGTTGACGTGCCACTTCAATCTCTTCAGACTCCAGTCATTAAAGAGCAAATGGCCTTTTGGGATTGATCTGCTTACTGGCCTGCTCCTCCTCCTGGAGAGCACAGCGGAATGACTTCACTTTGTCTAATGAGGAAGATGGAAGGAAAAATCGTAAAAGAAGTGATTAATGTTGGATTCAAACAGGAAGTACGCTTACTAATTATGAGACTACGCTTATGACATACCTCGGAGCTCAGTGAGGATTTCTATCTTTTGGTCCAGGATCTGCTCCAGTTGAGTAGCGTAAGATTCCACATCATAATCCACCTCTTCCGTCATCTCCAGCAGCACCTTCTCATCCTCCAACCACCGGATTGACTCCTGCTCACAGAACAAGTTCTTATTAACAGAGGCTATGTGATGGCTCCAACAGTCTCATTAAGACAGGTACTATTTCATATATATGGTTAAATACTTGTTGCTGCTTTTCAGTCTCGTTTAGGGATCAGTGATAGTTTTGTCAACTTGTAACATTTGTCAAAGACTTAATGACCTTCTTTTCTAAGCTGAAGACTTAACAGGCAGTTATGTTGGAATAAACAACGGCAATATCTAATGATAAATTAGTCAGTTAATTTGTCCATGTATTTATTAATAAAATACAATAGTGTATAATATTTTGTATAATGTTTGGTATTTTGTCAAATAGAACTTGAGACTAAGTTACTACCTAGTCCGTTCATAGCAACACTTTTATGGTTCAAATTATACACTGAAAAATAATGTGCAAAGAAAATCTTTGTGAACCACATGTACTGTAGACCTTAATCGCCAGTAGGACTAAGACAAAGGTCACTGTCCTGACCTGAAAGACAGCTCTGTGATCCTCCAACACCTGCTCCTCCATCTCCACCAACTGAGACACAGCCTCATGGAAGGTGAACAGCTGCGGAGACACTTCCTCCTCCTGGAAAACAGTTACACCAAAATATTTATTAAAATGTTGAATCTACTGAAACCTGAGAGAAAAGTTTGTGTTTGAGCTTTAGAAGCTACTCTGGTCAACAGGTGTTTAAAAGCGTGACCCTACAAAAGATGACCTTTGAGAGGACAGTGACATTAGGTTGTTTTGTTTTAAGCAGTAAATGAACTTGCAGTACAGAAGCAAATGGAAAAAAAACATCAAGAAAGATCGAACTTGGAATTCAGTCCAGGAGCGGCAGAGTCAGGTGTTTTACCCAGTGACTCATTGGCATGCACACTGACAGAGCCAGATAATGGAACCCTAACATTTTTCTTGTATCTGCTGACATCCAACTCACATTTTGCTCACAGAGCAGTTTGAGGTCATCCCTCTGCGGCGACACACTCAGCCACTCCTCATCCAGCAGGTCCAGCTGGTTGACGGCATGAATGTTTGGTCGCCCTCCCTCCATAACTTGGTTTGGATCCACAGTCAGCTCCTTCACCCTGCAGAGGAAAAACACAGAGCTGCTCAGGTCCAGGCTAAAGCTGCAGCTCAATTTATGTTGCTGTGTTTACGGCTGCGTCAAAGAGTTTAAAGAGCATGGGATGATAAGCACTTTTGAGGGCGATGACATCATGCATGGGTGGAGGTGACTGTGTGGTTCCTAATAATATCTGAACCTTATAATAGCAATCTATTAGTCCATAGCTAATAAGCTATGGTATAGTATGCCAATACAGTATTATTACATTTAATAATAATGTCACTTGGAGCACATTTTATCAATACTAATAGGATAAATTAGGCCCGAATGGCTAATTAGGTATTAGCTCTCTCCAAAATACACCATAAAACTGAGCTGTTGGTTCTATAATAAAACACTGTTTTGAATCTTTTAGAATTGTCATCAAATATTTCATTTCCTGTCACAGAGACAACAGTCACACTTATTAGAAGCCGTATTTAAAAATGTTAAATATAAAATTGATGTGTTGATTGAGGGGTACCATGGCTAGTTATCTGTTGTCATTTGCTGCATCCTTAAAAGGTCACCTTCATAATAATAAAAAATCTCAACTCTGCTTTTAATAAAAAAGCAATAATGAGGCTGCATATATTCCAGTTTATACCTCATTTTTCTTCTTACATTATTTTTAAGATGTCTGGGCCAATAGGCCTGGCCACTATTTACACACAACAGATAAAAGGTGTTGCTAAAAAGTACATGGTTACATTCTGGCTTAGTACATTTAAAGGGAAGAGCAGACAAATGAAAGTAGAGCAGGAGGATCAAAGTGTCACATCATGCAGATGAGTGTGAAGATCAGACGACAGTGGAGGGTTTCTACAGAGGGAACAGAAGCTGCTGTAATGAGCCTGCAGACGTGTGGTATTTTAGGAAGACCAGAGGGGAGGACATGCTCGGGCTGTGTCTCAATTCAGGGGCCATCTCCTCTAGAAACAATGTCTGCCTGGTCTATGGAGGGTTTCCCTATCATGTTACTACTGTTACTTAGCAAATGAGCTGCAGATGGACGTGATACAGATCACCAATGGCATAACAAATGACACACACAAAAATACTTTTCAAGGACATTTAATGTGTGTGCAGAACAGCAGTGTGATTTAAGCCTCAATCTTTCTTCTAAATGCTTTCTTGACGTGAAGTGTTTTTTAAATTCTGTGTTGCTGTCACATTGATAGACAAATAAATCAGCTGCATTTGGGGGAGCTTTCATCAAAGGTTATGTCCACACTAGTGTTTCCACTAGGATTTAATTTTAAGCAGCGACAGCAAGTCAAAACCCCAAATTTGTTTTGGAAATAGCAGGACGGTGCTCCTGCCATTTCAATGCTCATAATGTAAACACCACACAATGACATCACAACTGTCCATACTTTTTTTCTAAAAAGAAGTGATCCTGTCTCCATCCATTAATTTTGTGTGCCATACACTGACAAAATAAACGCTGGACATGATGGCAATGATTAATCCTGATTAACAGTTTTTAAACAGGGGTGGAGTCATTGCCTCTGAATAAAGACACCGCTCTAGTGTGTGTGTGTGTGTGTGTGTGTGTGTGTGTGTGTGCGTGTGTGCATGCAGTGCTCTGCTCTGGGTAAAGTCTTGACCTGCTGGGAGAGGTAGCAGCAAAGTCATCATACTCAAACGTATTGGTGGGCGAGTGGTCGGAGCGACTCCCCTGACTACTCTGGGAGAAGGGGATGTCTGACGGACTAATCCCAAACTCCTTCACTCTGCACAGTGGCACCAGCACACAGAGGAGCAAAGGGCAGAAGAAAGGAGAAGGAGCCGAGCAGGAAAAACAGGAGAAGTGACACAAGAGGAGGGAAACATTTTAGGCAGAACTACTGAGAGGAGACAGAACAAAAATACACAATAACAATTTGCTAAACTAATTTCATTCTGGGGATTCTCTGGACTAACTGATTTCAGTTTCAGAGGCAAAGGCACTGTTAAAATCCCTGCAGGAATCAATACATTCCCACCTGTTGGCGTAGCGTAGTGTGTTGAGTGTGTTCTCACAGGATGTCATACCAGGAGATATTGTTGCTATCTATTGGAATAAGGTCATAAGAATTAGGATATAACTGATCAACGTAAAAGTTACTGGATTTGACAAAGTCTGAGAATTATAGTAAAAATACAGTGAAAAATAACTCACCATACAAGTGCGTGAATTCTCCCCAATAAACGAGTCTCTCAAGACCTGTGTTAGTTTACTGGCTCTAAATGGAGTGTGTGGTTTGTTACGTCCAAGTGCCCTGATGCACTCCTAGAATAAAACAAAGACAGACACAATGTAATTATCAAAATGGGTTAGTCAATAATTTCATTTATTTTTCTGTGTTAGCCACAGCTACAGACAACTGCCAACAGACCTTAAGTGCCAGAAGGCTTTTGTTAATCTCAGCTCCCTCCAGACGTGTCTGACGGTCTGCACTCGACGTATCTGCCCCTCTCTCATTTCCTGCGAGATCGATTAGGGAGAACTTTCCGTGCATCTTCCCCTTTCGCCGAAGAATAATCTGGAATACGGCGTGGCTGCGGGATGAGTGAGCGTTAGCCGATGTCTGCCCTGATGTTCTAGGGGGAAAAAAAGGAAAAAGAAAGAAAAATCAGTTGTAGGCAACAAAAGTCTTGGTCAACTGGAACAGCAGTTTCATAAAATAGCAACTTCATGTTGTTATACCTGCAGCTGTTGCCCACTTCTATGAGTTTCAGGACATCCTCTGTGCACTTCACCTCCTTCTCCTGAAGCCCCACCACCTGCACTTGCTGTTTTCCATCCTCCAGCACCCTCAACTTAGCTTTACGATTGAGCAGGTCAAAAACCTACGCCATGTCCAACAAAGACACTAGTTAACATCGGAACTTTGTGTGTTTGTGTGTGTGTGTGTGTGTGTTTTATCCCTTGCCTTTCCACTGTAGATTTCAAAGAAGGTAGCGAAGACTTGGAGATCTAATTTCTTATAACAGGGTTTTTTCAACATGAGAAATACATCTCGAGCTGAATGAGAAGAAATTATTTCGATATTTTAAATAGTAGTGCATTTTAGAGATTAATTACAATACACAACAAAAAATGTTTCATTGTTCCACTTACCAGCTAATGCATAAATTCCTTTTGAGCAGTCTTGGTTTTTCCCAGAGAAATCTCCACCCATCGTCTAATGTAGAGTTCATTGTATTAAACATGAGCAGACGTCATTTTAATTAATGTAGTATTTCAAGTAAAAAAAAAATGTTTTTTAAAAAAAATCAACTGTCTTTATATGCAACTTACATGTGTTTTTCCACTGCCTGTCTGCCCATAAGCAAAGCAGGTGGCCATGCCTCTTTCAAAAATGGTCTCCACTAAAGGTCTAGCAGTGAATCTGTAGCAGAAGAAGATGACAAGTCACCAAAGAAGAACTTAATTATCCAATCAGTTTTATAAAACAAGTAACTTTGACATTATTACATGTGAACAAGGACAGAGGGTGTTCTGTTCTAATGTCAGTGTGTTGAATGTGATCAACCTGTAAACCATCTCGTTGGTGGTGCTGTCGTCAAAGGCGTAGTCGAAACGGAAAGTCTGGTTCTCCAGGTAGCGCGTCAGGTCCACCTTTTGTTTTGGTTCGTGAACCATCACTACATCCTTACTAGGGATGGTGATGACATCCAGGTCCTTCACAGACAACTCTGTAAAACAGACAAGCAAAACTTTGTTTAAAACCATTTTACCCTAACACTGACCATGTGTCAGTGCTGCTGTAACATGAAGAACAACAGTCATGAAACAGATATAAAAACCAGGTTAGTGAGCACTTTAAATTCATACCTTTCTTGTTGAGTGGACGTTTCCTCACACACACACATATTCTGTGCTCTTCAATCTGGTTAGTTCAACAGAGAGGACATTTTTATTACTAAGGGGAAAAACTTAACAACCAAGAAGAAGTGACATTCTGCTTACCAAATCTGCTGTGGTCAAGGGCCTGTAGTCTAGACTGGCTCTGAAGTCACGGATCATGTACATGATCTCAAAGTTGGGGATGGTAGTGTCGACTTCCTGAAGGAGCAGGAGACGCAAACACAATGTTTAACATGGACAATGCCTCCAGTTTCCTATAGTTAAAACACTAAGGGGAACGGCCAAATGATTATGGATGTACTTGAGCTCTCTTCTCTCTCAGCTCCTGTTGCTGGAGTCGGCGCTTCTCCCTCTTCTCCTGCAGTTTCTCCACTTCCTTCACACAGTTTGACTTCCTCCTCGCTGTCATTAACAGAACAGAAACAGAAATTCTACTGCTGTTTAACTGCCAATAGGGATTGCTTAAACGAAAAAAAAAAATTTGGCTACAGGAGCTTCTTCCTCATGTTTGGACTGCAAACAGTGGGCACAAACCCTGGGCTATTTACAGCAGAAGCAGAACAATGGTGATGTTTATGCACAGAGCAAGATGCAGTGTCTTGCGCACAGTGCTCCCCAGTAAAACACTAGCTGCATTCACTACAACAACAGAGGCCTTAACATTATCCCTCAGATGGGCCATCTTCATGTGTACTTTCTGTGTGACCCAACTAATTTAACTACATGATTTACAATGTAAAACATGTGTTTTGCATTAAGATAAAGCCAGAGTACATTCTAAAAAGTTTGTTAAACCATCAACCAGGTTATCCATTATTTCCCAGCCCAGATTACCCAGATTAGTGGTGTTTCAGGTGCGTCATTTCTTCTTAATAACAAGAAAAACATTCAGCAAAATCTAAATAAATTGCAAGCTAACCCTCAAAGTTTTAAGAATTTATAAAAATCGTGTTTTTCAATTAGCCAAGACTCTCTGCTACACAACCTGGCAAACACTTTGTAACTCATTCTGACATTCTTCTGGCAGCAGATTACCAGAGCGTGGCATTAATTATTTGCTTAAAATTAAGTTGAAAACCATTGATTTGGGTCAGCACCTGGGGAAGCCATTGAAAGAGGAGGGAGCACTGTCATGGGGAAGTCATATGGTTGCTCAGGGGTAAAAATTGAGAAAAGTGAATTTCCTTCTTCTTGTTTCAGCTTTTGAAAAGACATAGTGCTGTTTCATCACTGAGCAGCTGCTTCAGGCTTTTCCTTACATGTCAACTGTTTGTGACTCAGCAGACATCATATTGTGTAAATACAGTACAGACACACAGAAGCATCAACCTTTTTTAAACTCCTTGTCTAGTACCCAGAAAGCCTGTCCACTGGATGGATTTGCTGCACTGCTTCACAACCGCACCACAGCTGTGAATAACATTAGGCAGACATTCTGGGTAGTTTGACGTTGTTTTGCGGTATTTGGTCAGTCCCAGATTTTATTGGGAACTTTATTAGAATCATCATATTGCATTGAGGGGAAGGGAAACGTGCAGGTGATATGTACAAAGATTTCCAGACTCCTTTCTGGAAATGAGATGTGAGGTTTCTGTGATGAAAACGTAGTCAACAAAGAGCACACGAGATATGAAAAGGTCAAAATCCAACCGTTTGACTAGGAAAATGACATGGAGAAAAAGGAAAATCAAAACAGCTGTAGCTTGTTTGAAAAACAGATAAACAGTTGTTAGGGTCATGTTACCATTCTGCAGTTGTTGTTGTGACTGAGCTTGATTGGTCTGTGTGGGCTGCTGCGGCAGAGGTGTTGGCTCTTGTTGCTGAGGCTGCAGTGGTCTGGCCCTGGTCGGAATGGCTGATATAATATGGTTATGTCATAAATCATTTCAAACATGTTCTAAAAATTGCACTGTAAAGTTATGTCTTAACAAACCTCTGTTATCTCTTGATGGAGTGTCATTCTTAACAGGTGCTATTGTTCGCCGGTTCTTCAACAGAAAAAAGCAAAGCAATATAAATCCAATAACAATATCTTAAAATATAGAAATAATATTTCTAGATCAATTTACTCAGGGTACAAATTGATTTAAGATTTATTGACAGATTTATTATATAAGATCACAATACATTGCATTTAAAATTTAAATCTTTATTTTGACTTGGAATACATGTACATATGTGTCTATATCTGTAACCAAGGGGTCACCAGAGAAGCTGCCGTGTTTATAGGCCAACATGGATCAGCACTAATCTTTGCTGCTACTTAACAGGACCAATTAGTTTCTTAGTACACAGGTTCTTTATTAAGACCCAATCGAACTGCAGGTACAATTATACCAGATTAAGACCCTTAGCCTCCTAGATGTAAGTGAGAAGAAGAGTGAGAGGAGGGGGAAGCACATTTATATATTTAAACTTGAAATGTTTCCCTTTACCTTGAACAGATATCATAAGATAAGGGCGTAGACTGGCAGATGCAAACCTTTGCAATTTTGTTGACCTTCACACATGTGGGTGTAGGAGGGGGTGGTGTCTCTGGACTAGGAGCAACATCCTCATCTGGAGCCACATCTGGATTAAGTGCAAATATACTCTCCAGGTCAATCTGTGCAGAAAACAGGAGTATAAATGATGTATTCTGATTACATGTCCCAGTTGTATCACTTAATAAAAAAAACTTCAACACTCTGACAGATAGGTTAGGATCAACTGCCTAAAGAGTTGCCTCATATTTAGATGTAAACTCAGAGACAGAGTGCACTGGAGGCTTCATATAAGCATTTAAGGTTTCATAGCACATTAACCACTTGTGATAACACTGCCAATAAAAAGCAAGCTTAAAATAATACAAAATATTAAGATAGGTAGATACAAGGTAGTGACAGGAAATAAGGTTAGTGGTAAAATACAATAATAATAAAAACATACTGCATGCTATTTGTTAAAAGAATTGTGATTTCATGCTAGATGTGATGACCAGACAAAGTCATCTGGGTCTAGTCAGACTTGGGCGTTTCAAATTATTTACATGGATTTAAATGGTGAGTCTCATTCTACTGGGCAGAGAAGTGCAGAGAAGAGATCTTTTTTTATTTTATTTTTCTGACACTGTTTAAAATAAAAAAAAAACAACTTGACTATATGAGCCTGTGTATCTTTTGAATGACTGAATATTAAATGTATAAAACCTAAGGCATCTTTTTACACAACTCATCTAGTTTGATATAAAACACATTTTGAGATGATATACAAAGCAGGTCATGCCTGCTGCATCATCATCCATCAGTTTCAAGTGTCTTTGGCACTGACAAAATGCTAAAAGCCCCTGCCATAAACATCTAAGTATTTAATAAATGTACTTTTTATATAGATACCCTCTCTCATTCAAGAGTCTGTCACTTTCAAATGCTTTTGTGTCACTTACATAAGCAAGTGTAATGAAAACATGTAATGAATTCAACCTTGATTTAAATCATGCATTTAATGTGTATAAAATCATCTTTTCACATATTAGTGAATAAGGTCAATTGATTCTAAAAGAACATTAAGCCCAGGAAAGCTGTAGCCAGAATGGATAAGTTATCACACCTTAAAGTGACTATTTAACGCAAGAGTAAACAACAGACAGTAATATTGTAGTTGTGAAGAAAGTCCTATAAGACAGAAAGACATGTTGTTGTATACATGACTGTAATAAGCTTGTGATACATAAAGAGCATATTTGAATAAATGAATGTAAACGCAAATAAATGCATAAATGTAACAGTGATGTCCAGTGGGGCTGCTGTGCTTGCAAGCTGCTTGTGTAATTGCCACGGCTCCTGAATGTCTCTGGATCCATTATTCATTGCGCTTCACAATGAAAGCACATGCTGCTGAGTGATCATGAATGGTGCCTTACTTCTTTCCCTTTTGTGTCTCCGTTTTCTATCCATTCCACTGTGACACTCTCGTTGTCCTCATTCAGTGACGTCACCATCGCCTGGTGGATGCGTCCTTTAAACGGAAAAGAGAAAACAGAGAAAAACACAAACATCAGATTGGGAGAAGCCAAACAAATTTAAAAGTGTATTGAGAGGATGAGCCACTTTGTAAAGATATTTAAATATCATTATTACCCGTATTTTTCGGACCATAAGGTGCACCGCATTATAAGGCGCAATATCAATGAACGGGAATATTTTCATATATAAGGCGCCCCGGGTTATCAGGCGCATTAAGCGAAACTAAACAGTGAGCGAAACAATCAAGCATGCCCGGATCCCTCTCGTCATTATCTGAGTCAGTCTCGTTGCTGTTAATTAGTTGTTCAGTGATGATTCAGGCCTTCTCAGGTCATTTGACAGTTGTTTTGAGGCTCCCATGTTGCCAGTCTTCAGAGAAGATTTAAAGGGGAGAACAATACCTGATACCTTAGCCCAGGCATTCACGGTTGGAATTCTGTGGTTAATCCACCCAGAATGATGGCAAGCCCCGAACTAGTTTGCTTCACTTGGGTTCTGACAATATTGGTGAGATGGGCGCGTTTGGATCAATAGGGATGGAGATTTGTGGGGAATGGTAGTGACTTAAGTTGGACACTGGAGGACTCTGTTGTTGTTGTTGTTTGCCCCTCCAGAGTCAGGCGGTTGTCACTAATTTTGTTCTGGTTGGTCACCGTGTTGTTGTTTTGACGCTTTTCCGTGCGGAAGTTGTTTTGCAGAGAGAGTATGTGATTTTCCTGTATCGATAAAAAAGGAGAAATAAAAAGTTTTTGACCACAAAAAAAAATCGACAGCCATGCGTCGCAGTCGTCCTGCATCGCACCATACATCGACAACACAAAAACACAACAAAGTCTTCGGGTGTTTGGAGGCACGACGCTACGTTGCGCGGATTTGTGTTACACAACCATACTGTAACAATTGTTGTTGAGCATCTTCTAATTGTGATAACAGAGTTAAACGTCATTGTTGGCTCCCAGTGTGCTTCAGTTGTGTGGTTTGGCTTTATAAAATCGGTTCGAGCTCACCAGAAGTAATACATAAGGCGCACCGGGTTATAAAGCGCACTGTCGATTTTTGAGAAAATTAGAGGTTTTTAAGTGCGCCTTACAGTGCAGAAAATTTGGTAGTTTAAACGTTTCTAACCGGTGAGTGCTTCAGAGTGGAATTATTCTAAAGTACACACAGGTCTTCATCACTTCATACCCCAATTAGTTGGAAACACCAAATTCAAGCAAGTAATACCAAATAGTCATAGAGCAAACAACATGAGTTCTACACTCATGAGAACATGAGTGTTTTATCACAGACAATTCAGTTTGGAGAATTTATCTTTAAATACACACTTCGAATGTATCATCATATATTCAAACTTGCACTTTGCAATCTATGTTGTTCAGTCTGACAGAGAGACAGAAGTGCAAATATATATTTATATAAAAATCCATTTTAATGATCGTTTTGGCTGTTTCCTTTTCCAACAGACTTGAGGCTAGTGAGGCAAAATAAAACGGAAAAACCGATAGGATGGACTTGACGATGAGGATATCAAAGTGAAACAGTTTTTTCAGCTGATCGAAAACACAAATTTATCTACAAATTTTCATTTAAATAGGGAAATAGTTAAGTTAGTCAAACTATAGACTCTTCAATGTGCAACAAATCATCAGCTCAGATGAATAAAAATAGTACACTGGGTAATCATCACACGTTAACCCTGAGATTTTGTTACAACAGCTGTGACTTGCTTGAGACTATGGAAATCAATACTGGACAATACACTATAATAGCTGCAAAACTCACAGATACCTAGCTGAGGTTTGAAAAAAAAAACAAAAAACCAACCCCCGGTCCCCCCCCCAAAAAAAAAAAAACAGATAAATGTATTAAAATCCTAACCATAAGGTCTGATAATAACCTGTTTAGGGACTATCACTGAGACGAGCACAGCTGCTGCTGTGTGCTTCTGTCCGCCTCCGTGTCTGCAGTATAATAATACTAACTGTAAAAAGCTGCAGACTTCCCATTTCCGTCAATGTGGACCTATAACTGGGCACTTTACAGTAGCTGCCCAATGCAGGGAAACACTCCGTTCCAGAAACCATAATTCATAGAACTGACCAAATATGCTTTCAGTGTTCCAACTGCCCAATGTTTGACTAAATGACCTAACAATGATTTCACAATAAGAACTCATTATAAAATAAGCTAAATTTGATCTAGACATTCTGGGTAATAAGAGTGTTTAATGGAGATCAACTAACTTCAATACTTTTTTTTTGTCAATTCTGATTTCAGATGTTTTTGCTCAGTGTGACTGATACCAATTTTGGTCAATTCTGTTTTATTTCAAATGACCATAAAGAAAACGCAAAGTTTGTCAGCATGGGATTATGGAATATTTCCCACAAATAACATTTCGTAGTTGAAGTATGGCAGATGAGGAAGCTTGTCACTAGGCCACTCTTCCCCCATAATAATGAGCAAACAATAAATGCACAGCACTTTTGTTTGTGCCGAGATTAATTTTTTAGTTACACTTTTATTCTGTTCTAAACAGTTAACCGTATTAATGTCTTGTGTAGCAATTAGGGCTGGGTGATATGGCAAAAATGGATCAAGATATATTTTTCATATCATCCAATCTTTATTATCACAATATTTTATATTGGCTTTAAAGTATATGCACTGGAAAAAAATTAGAGTTTATTTCAACATTTTATTTACCATCCATCCATTTTCATCCGCTTATCCGTGACTGGGTCGCGGGGGCAGCAGTCGACACCCAAATCACATTGCACCGTACCAACCCCTCTGAACCTTCCTGTGGGTGGTGAGTCCACTGGAAGGTACCAACCGCCCTAACTGGGATTCAAACTTGCCCAGGAGGTGAACCCTGGGGTTCCACACCAATGACAGAGACATTGACTCTGGGCCAAAGCGCCACCATTTTATTTACATATGAGGTAAATAACCAAATACCAATATCAAAAGATACAAATTAAAGCTAAAATAAGGGCAGTGGTGGCTTAGTGGTTAAGGAAGGCTCCTGGTTCCAGTCCACCAGCTGCCAAGTTACCACTGCATGGCACTGTCCCCACACACTGCTCCGCTGTTCACTTTGGTGATGGGTTAAAAACAGAGGTCACATTTTGTTGTGTGCAGTGGTGTGCTGTGTCACAATGACAAATAATTCACTTTCTTTCTTCTTTCTAAATAAGACTCAAATTACAGCTCGACTCCAGCCTGAGGCAAATAAAGGTTACATGATGGTTACTTTTTCTTATCTGGTGTTGACACAGCTCCTGTGTGGTGTTAGCAGTAAACACACTGGTGACATATAAAGGTCTGATAATTATTATAAATATACAAAAACACACCAGTTTTTTAAAGATTAAATAAACTTCACCTAGTTTACAAGGTCACTGCTGGTATAAATACACAAATGTGAAAAGTACAGACCATATACACTGAGAGTAAAGATTGTATTCACAATAACAACATCAACAATAAACCTGCAGCACAACTGCCTAACCTGTTGAGGCCAAGAGACCGAGGGGTAGAAAACATGTTTCAAATGGCAAGTTAAAGGAAAAGTCCAGCTTTTTGGTGGATTAAATGTATGTGAAATTAGTTTTGAGTAAGCACATAAATAAACCTAACTCACGAAAAGCAGTCTCACTAAAAAAAATAAAGCTTATGATTCTAAACAAAAGTTCATAAACAAAATGTAAAATACAAAGGGATTGTTAATTAATAAATATATCTTCACTTTGAATTAACTGGAACAACACAAACTTAACAACCGGATCAGTAAAAAACCAACAGCTATGTTTTGTACATGTTTAATTACACTTGCCGGAAAAGAATTAAATATTTTAGGTAAAAATAGGAAACCAGCATTGCCTTCATTATTTTAAACGTATGTTCCCAATTCTATTAATTTCTATATTAATATTTGCTAAATATTTGTATATAAAAAATAAAAAAAAGACAAAAAGAGGAAGAATAGAAGTGTTGGTCTGAAGTTTGGAACTCTGAATATAGGTAAAATGACAGGGAAAGGTAGAGAAATAGCTGATGTGATGGAGAGAAGAAGAGTAGACATTTTGTGTGTGCAGGAGACCAGGTGGAAGGGCAGTAAGGCTAGAAACATTGGAGGAGGCTACAAACTGTTTTATCATGGTTCAGATGGGAAGAGAAATGGAGTAGGGGTGATCCTAAAGGAAGAATATGTAAAAAAATGTGGTAGAGGTGAAACAAGTCAAGTCAGACAGGTTGATGTGTGTGAAGGTAGAAATAGGAGTGATGACAAATGTTGTTAGTGGTTATGCCCCACAGGTGGGCTGTGAGTTAGAAGAAAAGCAGAAATTCTGGAAGGAGCTGGATTGGATGATAGAGGGTATCGGGGAGAGAGTGGTGATTGGCGCAGACTTTAATGGTCATGTAGGAGAAGGGAACAGAGGAGATGAGGAAGTGATAGGTAGGTTTGGTGTTAGGGAGAGAAACCTGGAAGGACAGGCAGTGGTAGATTTTGTGTAGAGAATGGAAATGGCTGTGGTAAACATCTATTTCCAAAAGAAAGAGGAACACAGGGTGATGAACAAGAGTGGAGGCAGGTCCACACAGATACACTATATTACGAAACGTATTCGCTCACCCATTCAAATGATCAGAATCAGGTGTCCTAATCCCTTGGCCTGGCCACAGGTGTATAAAGTGCAAAGAGGTCGCCGACTTTCTGCACAGTCAATTGCTACAGAGCTACAAACTTCATGTGACCTTCAGATTAGCCCAAGTACAGTACGCAGAGAGCTTCATGGAATGGGTTTCCATGGCCGAGCAGCTGCAGCCAAGCCACGCATCACCAAGTGCAATGCAAAGCGTCGGATGCAATGGTGTAAAGCAC